CCGATGGGCGCGTTGCGAGACAGCCCGACGGTGACTGGCCGAAGGGCGCGAGGTGCCGGTCCGGTTCTCCGTTTAAGGTGTCCGAAGTCTCTCTGAATACGAGTCTCATGCAACGCCCGACGCCCAGAACGACGGAGAGAAGCCCCGCCCACACACACGGGCCACACGCCAACCCTCTTACTTGAAGATGAGGCCGTCCTTGGCCATGGCGTAGACGATGCGGGGCAGCGAGAACATGGACCCGAACATGGACACGGTGAGGCCGGCCAGCGCCCCCAGGGCCACGAAGTTCTTGCACTTGTAGGCGCCCACCTTCCCGAACACCTCGACCAGGGCGGCGTCCTCGTCGATCTCCGTGTAGGGCACTGAGGGCGGCGGGGGTGGGGTGGGGGGGAAAGAGAAGGGAGGATACGGTGGAGGGAAGAGGGAGGGATACGGTGAGGAAGAGAAGGGAGGGATACGTGAGGAAGAGAAGAGGGATACGGTGAGGGAAGAGAAGGAGGGATACGGTGAGGGACAGAGAATACGGTGAGGAAGAAGGGAGGGATACGGGAGGGAAAGAGAACGGTGAGGGAACGTGAGGGAAGGGGGTCGAGGAAGAGAAGGGAGGGGTGAGGGAAGAGAAGGAGGGATACGGTGAGGGAGAAGGGAGAAGGGAAGAGAAGGGAGGATACGGAGGAAGAGAAGGGATACGTGAGGGAAGAAGAAGGGAGGGATACGAGGGAAGAGAAGGAGGGATACGGTTAGGGAAGAGAAGGGAGGGATACGGTGAGTGAGGAAGAGGATAGTGAGGAAGAGAAGGGAATACGGTGAGGGAAGAGAAGAGAGGATACGGTGAGGGAAGAGAAGGGAGGGATACGTGAGGAAGAGAAGGGAGGGATACGGGGGAAGAGAAGAGAAGGGAGGGATACGGTGAGGGAAGAGAAGGAGGGAGGTACGGAGGGATACGGTGAGGAAGAGAAGGAGGATACGGTGAGAAAGAGAAGGGAGGATACGGTGAGGAAGAGAAGGGAGGATACGGTGAGGGAAGAGAAGGAGGAACGTGAGGGAAGAGAAAGGGATACGGGTGAGAAGAGAAGGGAGGGAGGATACGGTGAGAAGAAAAGGGAGGAGGGAAGAGAGGAGGGTAGGAAGGGAGGAAGGGAGGACATGGAGACAAGGAGGGGAAACGAAGGGAAGGGGTGGGAAATGGAAAGAACGAGGGATAAGGAGAGAGAAAGAAGAAGGAATAAAGTTAATCACTGTTATGTCAGACTTAGGATACTATTTCGATTTGTGTACAGGATATTATCACTGAAAATATTAAAGGAGAGAGAGAGAGAGAGAGAGAGAGAGAACACGAATTAGAAGAGAGAGAGAGAAAGAGAACACGAATTAGAAGAGAGAGAGAGAGAGAGAAAGAAGAGAGAAGAAGAAGGAAAAAAAAAAAAAAACAAAATTAGAGCGAAAAGCTATATAAATATATATAAAAGAGAGCGAAAGATAAAACACAAGATCGAAAAACGAGAACAAAAGATCGAAAAACAAAGAAGGAAAGCAAGACCGATAGACAGATCGAAAGACCGAAAAATAGACCGATAGACAGACCGAAAGACCAAAAGGTAGATCGCAAGATAGACCGAAAAAAACGAAAAAAATAGATCGAGAAGACCGGGAAATAGACCGAAAGACCGAAAAAACAGACCGATAGACAAAACCGAAAGACCAAAACGTAACCGCAAGATAGACCCCCCCCCCAAAAAAAAAAAAAAAACGAAAAAATAGACCGAAAGACCGAAAACAGAAAACAGACCGAAACAAAAGGTAGACAAGAAGACGAAAAAACGAAAAAAACCCGAAAAAAAATGAAAAAAAGACCGAAAAAAAGAAAAAAACCGAAAAAAACGAAAAACCAAAAAACAGACCGAAAAAACGAAAAACAGACCGAAAAGACTAAAAACAGACCGAAAGACCGAAAAAAAAACGAAAAAACAGACCCAAAGCCAGACCGAAAGCGCCGGAGCCTCACCCATGAGCGTGATGATGGCCGACGAGGTGACGTAGGCGACGAGGATGATGACGAGGGAGAGCACGATGGAGTAGGGGATGGAGCCGGGCGTTGACGGCCTCCTCGCCCGTCCGTCGCGATGATGTCGAAGCCGGATGAAGGCGTAGAAGCAGGTGGCGCGCCCGTCATCACCTGCGGGGGGGGAGCGGAGGAGGAGGGGAGGGGAGGGAGGGGGGGGGCAAAAGGAGGGGGAAAGAGGGAGGAAGAGAGGAGGAGGGGATGGGGGAGGAAGGACGGGAAGGGGGGAGGAGGGGAAAAGGAGGAAGGCAAGGGGGGGGAGGGGGGGAGCAAGGGAGGGGGGGAGGGGGGAGGAGGAGGAGGAAGGAAGGAGGGGACGGAAGGGGGGGAAGGGGGGGGGGGAAGGGGAGGGGGATGGGGGGAGGAGGGGTGAAGGGGAAGGGGAGGACAGGACGGGAGGGGAGGCCGGGAGGGAGGGGAGGAGGTGGAGGGGAGGAGTGGGAGAGGAGGGGGAAGGGGGGGGGGGGAGGGAGGGGAAGAAACGGTCAGGGCGCGAGGCAGGGGGGGAGCGTGCAGGGGGAAGGGGAGGAGGAGGAGGAGGAGAAGAAAAGAAGAAGAAAAGAAGAAGAAGAAGAAGAAGAAGAAGAAGAGAAAGGAGGAGAAGAAAGAAGATGCAGGCAAGAGGAGGAGAGGAGGAGGAGGAGAAGAAGAGAAGAAGGAAGAGAAGAAGAAGAAGAAGAGGAGAGGAAGAAGAAGAAGAAGGAAGAAGCAGAAAAGAAGAAGGAGGAGGAGAAGGAGGGGAGGTAGTGGGGCCGGAAGGGGGGAGAACGAGGATAAGGAGGAGGAGGGATGGGGGAAGGGGAGAAGAGTTCCAATAAGAAAAAGTTGAGAGATGTTGATATGAAAGGAAGAGGAGGAGAGATGGTGAGAAGGAATAAAAAGTAATAGGAAAAAAAGATGAGATGATGAGAAAGGAAGAGGAAGGAAAAGATAAAGGGAAGTGGAGAGAGTATGAGAGGAGGAAAAAGAAGGAGGAAGTGAGAGATGTGAGGAGGAGAGAGAAGGAGAAAGTGAGAGAGTCCGAGGAGGAGGAGAGAGAAGGAGAAAGTGAGAGAGTATGAGGAGGAGGAGAGAGAAGGAGAAGGTGAGAAAGTATAGAGGAGAGAGAAGAAGGAGAAAGTGAGAGAGTCCGAGGAGGAGGAGAGAGAATGGGGAGGTGAAAGAGTATGAAAAAGGAGGAGAAGAGAAGGAGAAAGTGAGAGAGTATGAGGAGGAGGAGAGAGAAGGAGAAAGTGAGAGAGTATGAGGAGGAGGAGAGAGAAGGAGAAAGTGAGAAGAGTATGAGGAGGAGGAGAGAGAATGAGAAGGTAGAGAGTATGAGGAAGAGGAGAGAGAAGGAGAAAGTGAGAGAGTATGAGGAGGAGGAGAGAGAATGAGAAGGTGAGAGAGTATGAGGAGGAGGAGAGAGAAGGAGAAAGTGAGAGAGGAGAAGGAGGAGAGAGAAGAGGAAGTGAGAGAGTATGAGGAGGAGGAGAGAGAGGAGAAGGTGAGAGAGTATGAGGAGGAGGAGAGAGAAGTCGAGAAAGGGAGAGCTGAGGAGTATGAGGAGGAGAGAGAGAAGGAGAAGGTGAGAGAGTATGAGGAGAGGAGGAGAAGAAGGAGGAGAGATATTGAGGAAGAATGAGATAATGGAAGAAGATGAAGATGATGATGGGAAGAGGAGAAAGAACACGAAATATGTAAAAAAAATCAAAAAAATCTGAAAGATATTATTTGTAACATCCACTTCTAAGATTGTGGTTCCTGCATGCATGACATTTTTTTTTTTTTTTTTTTTTTTTTTTTTTTACAAAGGCTTAAGTGACAAGGAATTTGGAAAATCAAGAAGGATATTGAGACACTTGCTCCAATGGACGTGTTCGGAAAAGTATGTGAGTAAGGGTGTACATTTTGTGTGTGTGTGTGCGTGTGTGTGGCGTGTGTGTGTGTGTGTGTGTGTGTGTGTGTGTGTGTGTGTGTGTGTGTGTGTGTGTGTGTGTGTGTGTGTGTGTGTGTGTGTGTGTGTGTGTGTGTGTGTGTTGTGTGTGTGTGTGTGTGTGTGTGTGTGTATGTGTGTGTGTGTTGTGTGTGTGTGCCTTAATCATGTACGCATGTATATCGCTAGCTATTCTGCTCTTTCTCTGTTTCTCTTGTCTTCTTTTTCTTTGTGTCTCTCCCGTTCTGGCTTTCTCCTCCCTTCACTCCAACCCTTCCTCCCTCTCTCCTTTCCACCTCTTTCTTCATTTGTTTCCTTCCTCTCTCCCCCTTTTCTTCCCTTCTCTAGTTCCCCTCGTCCTCTCCCTCCCCGACTGCTTCTTTTTCCGCTTTGGAAAGCTCTCCTACTCTCCCTCCCCTCCCTTTCTCGCTCCTCTTCCCCCTTCTTTTCTCTCCTTCCTTTGCCCATCTTTTCTCTCTCTTCTCTCTCTCTCTCTCTCTCTCTCTCTCTCTCTCTCTCTCTCTCTCTCTCTCTCTCTCTCTCTCTCTCTCTCTCTCTCTCTCTCTCTCTCTCTCTTTTTTTTTTTTTTTTTTTTTTTTTTTTTTTCCTATCTCGCCTCGCTCTTTCTCCTTCCTTCTCCCTTTCCTTTGCCCAAATCTTTTCTCTTACCCATTTGCCCTTCTCCTGACCCTCCCTCCCTCCCTCCTTCCCCTTCTCCTCCGCTGCCCTCCCTCCCTCTCTCACCCATTTCCTTCCCTTCTAGTGTCCCTCCTCTCCCCTCTCCTCCCCCCCCCTCCCTCCGCCTCTCCCTCCTTCACCCATTTTCTTCCCTCCTCCTGCCCCCTCCCCTCCCTCCCTCCTTCTCCCCCGCCCCCCCCTCCTCCAGCCAGCGCCCTCCGCGGCCGGGCAGGTGAGCGAGCCCCGCCAATTAATTTTCCACCTGGACGGGGCAGCTGATCGCCAATTTGTGCCTCGAACAGCGGCGCTTGCGGCTCCTCGGCGCGGAAGCGAGGCCGGGGT